TCTATTTGTTTTCTTTTTATTTATTATAGGCTACAAGCAAAAAAAGCAAAAAAGACCTCTAACACTAGCTTGCTCTATTCTTTTTCTATTCTATCTGTTTTCTTTTTATTTATATTATTTAAAAACCCTTGCTACGTGTACTGCGTTCAGCTAACTGAGACTTGTTATAGCACTTGTATATCATTGCTCTTTTGTTGATTTTGATTGCTTCCATTGTCCTCATTTGTAAGTCGCTTTGGATAAAAGCGTCTGCTAAATGACTAAATGTAAATGTAAATGTAGTGTCTTTAAAAAGATCAATACTCATCTGTGTGAGTGTATATACCTGCGTATACTGTGTGTTGTTTTTTGTATTGTCTGTGTAGTAGATGGTATAGTATTGGATGATGCCGTTGGGTTGGTTTGGAGGACTCCAGCTGAGACGTACTGTAGTGGTGGTGAGGAGTGTGTATGATACATTCTGTGGAGGGTCAGAGGGGGCTGCAAAACAGAGAAAGCATTTATCTTTATGACTATGATGGCAATGCTGTTTCATGATATTGTGGTTCTTTTTCAAAATTTAGTGAGCTGCCTGACTCTCTAGGCTAAATGAAACTAAACCTTATAACTGACTGAATTGAAACATCCTGAAAGAAGTTAAATGTTCTGTTATTTTCTAACGCTTCTATACGCTTTCAATCTTTCAAAATTTTGGCGTCGGTAAGATTTTGAAAGAAGTCTCTTATGCTCACCAAGGTTGCATTAATATGAGCAGTTGATCACAATTTCAGATTTTTTAAAAATATTTTAAGATGTCATTTATTACTATAATGTAATGTATGTATTTAAATCTGATATTTCCGTCATCTCCAAACGATTTCACAGTTTATTCTAGGATACTTGTTATGCTGCTATAATGTTTGGCCAAAATGAGGCATATGTGCCTTAACATTAGAAACATGCTTATGATGACAGAATGTGTTTGTGTTCACCTGATTCTATGGTACTGAACGTGATGTAAATCAACATTCCTCCATCTCCGAGTCGAGTCCAGCTGCTCACGGAGGCATTATATTGACCCAATCCATCCACACTCACCACCACTGACGTTTCCGTCACATTGGTGACAAACTCAGAGCTCAGATTCCTAATACACGCACACAAATGTTAGTTTCAATCTTGTACGACAATAGCCAGGTCTTTGGTAAAAACTGATTTTAAATCATCTTTACTTACCACACTCTCACTATGTAGTATAAAATCTCAGAGTTGGCCTCCTCTGGAGGTTTCCAGGACAACTCTACCTCAGTATCAGACAATTTCCTGGCGATTAGGAATTTTGGAGGGGAACTGGGTACTGTCGTTTAGGAAAAACAGCTATTATAGACCCAAAACTGTGGAAAAGGACTTTACTCTTCGAACAAGACAGTGATTTGAGTTAGTAAATGTAAGAGAATGTCTCCCATGCCAGGAACGGCATCCACATTTGTCCATTCTGACAGCTGCTAATGGAAAAACTAACCAACCAAACACAGAGAAACAAACACAGACATTGTCGGTAGGTTCTGTCTCCTGAGGTAGAAAGATGAAACTTGGTTTAAAGGCAAAATTGATCCATAACACTGTAAAAAAAAAAACTCCCAGATTGCTTTCAGAAATGTCCTGTGGGAGAAATAAAAATAGTTAAAAATAATAAAACACTTTCATTTCCTGCGCGCAGACCTCTGAAAATCCGTAAAAAGAAGAAATGTTTAAGTGTGACCTTAATACAGTACTTTCTGCATCTTTAGCCAGATCCTGATAAATTCACCATGAAGACTGAACCTAAAAAGTAAAAACAGCTTCATTAAACACCACAAGGTCCGTTTGTTAAAACCGAACACTCACCGTCCTCCAGTGTGGTGATGTTCAGGATCTCACTCGTGTGGTTTCCCAAGCCGACCAGTGTGGCGGCCTGTATGCTGATACGGTAGCGCGCATACTTTCGCAGGTTGGACAGGGTGACATAAGGCACGTGTGTGGTTTGGTTCAGACTGTGTGTGGCATTCCAGTATTCTACGTTGTAGAACAAGATGATGCCATTTGCGAGAATCGGGGGTGACCATGACACATTCACCTCACTGGATCCGATGTTCTCATAGGTCAAATCGTAAGGTGGGCTGCCAGGCACTGCAACAAACAATTAAACTGCACATTAAGATATAGCAGCCTGCAAATTGCTCATATTCAATAAAAGAGTCCTCTCACGCATGTGATAAATAATATTAGAACATGAAGTGGGCTTTTTAATTAATTAATCTTTTTTTAAACAGAAGGTAGAGAGGGGGAATGAGATTAGAATCTGCATTTCCCACATAAGCAGCTCAATATGCTAAAATAATAAAAAGAAGGAAACATGAGTACCATAACTCAACATGCTGGAGCTCATGCACTAATCACTAGGCCACGCTCCCTTTTTGGCCTGTTCTATGGAGTTTTTTCAACATAATGAACAGTATAAAGAGGACAGGGGAGAAGAAGAGGAAATGACTAAGATTTAAACTTACTGTAAATCACCTGCATAAGCACCATGGCTCAATATGTCAGAGCAGGTGTGCTAGGAAGTGGGCTTTTATGAATGAAGGTGTATTCATACACTAACATTCAGAAGTTTGGGGTCGGTAAAACTTTTTACTGATTCTGAAAGAAGCTATGCTCACCAAGGCTGCATTTATTTGATCAAAAATATAGTAAAAACAGGAATAATGTGAAATATTATTCAAATTTAAAATAGCTATTTTCTATTGGAATCTATTTTAACATTACATTTATTTCTGTGATGCAACGCTGAATTTTCCTCAGCCATTTCTCCAGTCTTCAGTGTCACATGATCCTACAGAAATCATTCTAGTATGCTGATTTGGTGCTCAAGAATATTTCTCATTATTATCAATGTTGCTTAATATTTTTTTTGCAAACTGTGATACTTTTTTAGAATTCTTTGATGAAAAGAATGTTCAAAAGAACAGAATTTATTTGAAATAGAAAGCTTTTGTAACATTCTAAAAGTCTTACTGTCACTTTTGATCAATTTAATGTGTTCTTGCTGATTAAAAGTATGTTTGCTGCAACAAAGTGTCTGAAAGTCATTCATCTTTATTAATGAGAGTTGGTGATTTACATTCCACTTCATGCAAATTGAAGTAGAGATGCGATGCGCGAATAGCTACTGGCGTAAAGACACTAGAGTTCACATAATTTTATGCTTGATAGAGTTGGAGTGGGAATGTCTACTAGAAATCAAACAGCACCAAGACTTTAATCGCTGTATGTGTGAATGTGCCTTAACTGTAGGTACCCTTTGAAAGGGAAAGAGTGTGGGATTTCAGGATGAGATTGGATTAAAGTTTTATGCCTCTTCTAGTTTTTCAATTAAACATGAACACACACACACACACACAATGACTCACCATCCTCCCCCGACAGCATCTGTAGAGTATCAGAAATCTGGTTCCCATGTCCGTGTAGCGTAAACGCATGGACAGTCACATTGTAGTGTGTGTATGGCTTCAGGTAGCGCAGTGTGGCACTGGGCGATGTGCTGTTGACTGTGTTGCTGTATGTGCCATTGGTGTAGGAGACCTCATACAGGTGGATGATGCCGTTGGGTTTCTCTGGTGGAGACCAGGTGAGAGTAGCGGTGGAGGAGGTGGTTTTCACTACGGCCAGATCCCGTGGGGGTGAATCCGGCTCTAAAAGGCAGATGGAAGCATGCTAAGAGATTTCCAAAGTGTTTAAGGGGGCTTCTGTATGTATATGAAACATAACTGGCTCAATACCATCCTCTAGTGTCATAACGAAGATGTAGTCTTCATCGGTCAGTGGACTTTCCCCCACGGCGGTGGAAGCGGCCACACGTACCTTATAACTGCTGTACTTGTCCAGACCTGTGGATATGAGCATATATAGTGTTATACGGTGGCCTCAAAAACTATTTGAACACCTGGGTCACACCTAGAAATGTCTAAACGTCATTGCATTAGATGTAAAATATCCAAGCAGGATGAATCTGCAAACAAATGCAAGGGTGTTTTCTTGGAAATTCACCATTTTTTATTATTTTTGCTCAATCTTGGTGATTTTTAGTGGATGTGTTAAGTCGGTTCTCTTCAAGGTGTCCTAGAAAGTGTGGCATCAGTGGCCGAATGTACACCAGATGTACACTACTGTTCAAAAGCTTGGGGTCGGAATGATTTTTTAATGTTTTTGAAAGAAGTTTTTTGTGCTTACAAAGGCTGCATTTATTTGATCAAACATGCAGTTAAAGCAATAACATTGTGATATATTATTAAAATTTTAAATAACTATTTTCTAATGTACTAGATTTTAAAATGTAGATTATTCCTAGGATGCAAAGCTGAATTTTCAGCATCATTACTCCAGTCTTCAGTGTCACATGATCCTTTATTATAGGGTGTTACCTGTGAGCACTTCAGTGGTGGTGTCCGCCATCTGTCGTAATTGCTGGTTTGTGAGGAGATTTTGTGCATATACAGTGTAGTGAGTTATCTTGCCGTTAGGGTTCAGTGGTGGCTCCCAAGTAACACGGATGGAGGTGGAGGTCAGGTTCTGATAGGACACATTCTGAACAGAGCTGGGCACTGTGGGGAAAGACTGGGGTTACTTTATACAGTGGTTGTATGTTATAACTACTGTACTTCAACTCAGAAGTCTGAATGTATTGTACCTTGTTCAGTTGTTTTCACTGTAACTTCTGTGGAAGGCCCTTCTCCAATGATGTTTTTTGCCGTCACCCTAAATGTATACTCGGTGAAAGGACTCAGTCTTCTAACCACATACATGATGTGATCAGACGACAGGTCTGCTGTCTCCTCAGTGGCAGGTAGGACTGTCAATCAAAAAGCACAACCAATCAGAAAACAGAAAGCAATTTTCCCAATAATTTTCTCCATTGGGATTTTAAACAATTCCTCAATAAAGAATTTTTGGAAGCACATGAACTAGCACAGCAACATTACAAACTTTCCAAAAGTGATCAAATAAAAAAAAAATGATGGTACAATATAAAACTATTTACTATAAGTCATGGACTACTGTAAGGACAAAGTATAGCATACTTATTTAAATAAATTAATACAAAAATTCAGATTTATATAAAATACTTATATTTTATATAAAATGTAAATAAAAAAATAAAATTATATAAATATAAAATATTTTATATAAAAATCTATTAAAACAAAATACAGGTCACAACTGCTCTTTTCACCAATTTCAACCAGTTTTCATGGTTACAGTGACTTCTCTGATTGGTGGAAAATAAGCAGGGGAAAAAAAACCACACAATTTTTAAAAAATGAAGTGTCTTGTCTATACTTCAGTCAGTGTTGTTATTAACAAATTTGTAACCATGAAAAAAAAATTTGGTAATTGAAACAAATTTGGAAAAATAAAATACATAAAACAAAAAAAACAGCAGCTGAAAAAACTGGAAACTAAAATTAAACTAAAATAAATTATGAGAGTGCATAACAAAATTACTATTTGAACTAAAATTAAAATGAAAACTGAAAATAAAAACTAATAAAAAAGCTAATTCAAAATATTAATCCACACTATAATAGTTTATAAATCATTCTAAATGAACACAGAGTAAAGTAGGTCTGTCTTGACAGGTTTATTCATGTTGCTAAAAAAATTATTTTATCTATGGAGATTTTAAATAATATTTATACTTACGGATACCTAATATAAATGGCTTATTATGAGTTGTTATTTTGGTTGTGCTTTTAACAGTAATATTAGCATCCAAGTCACCACAACAGTTATTTACCCTCTATTCCAATAGTGGTGGCAGCTCTTGTAGAGGGGTTCGTCTGCTGCTGGGTGGAGTCTGTGGCCACTGCCCTAGTGGAGCGACGGGGCTGGGAGGGGCTTAAGTTAACCAATGGTGGTTGGTCAGTTCCTTGAGTGACAGCTGACAGTTCAGTCAAAGGTTCCTCAGTCACAGCCTCAGTCTCAGCTTCAACAGATACATCAGTTCTGTCGTGGGTCACTGTGAGCCAGGGTGGAGGTGTGTGGGGGGTGCTCGGGGTCAGAGGAAGGTCAGAGGTCAGTTCCATATCAGTGCTGGTAAAATCACGACCCAAAGCGGGAAACGCTCCGTGTGAGGTGAGAATGAATGCAGATGACGTAGTGATGTCAAGTGACCTCGCATTACGACGAAGTGGAGCATTCTGTAAACACAACGACATATCAGTAAAGCTAAACTAAACACAATACAGTGATTGTGTGTGTGTGTGTGTGTGTGTTTGTGGAGTTTAGTGTGTTTTACCTGTCCTCGCAGGGTGATGTCCTGTACAAGAGTACTGCGGTATAACACTAGTATCCGATAGTGTGTGATTAGTCCGTTCGGTCGGCTCGGGGGTCTCCAGGACAGACGGACAGACGTGGAATCCACAGCCTCTGCTGTCAGATGAGACACAGCACTTGGGGCTAACGGGGAAATAAATGCACACACACATACAGTTAACAATAAACTTAACCAGGGGCCTTAGCACAGTTCCAAGAGGCCCGCAAGATGACTTTAAACTAGATAAAAAAGTTCGTCAAGACAAACTTTAGGTTGGCTTGAGAAAGCCTAGCCTGAAAGTTTAAAGCAGTTCTAAAAGCCTGAAGTTTGAAAATTTAAATAGATTATATAGATGTTGATAACATGTTTCTAGCATGATTAGCATGTTTTTAACATGATTGGCCTGTTACTAGCATATTGTTGGCATGATTAACAAGTAACTAGCATGTTATTAGCATGTCTAGCAAGTGACTAGCATGTTGCTAACATGATTAGCAAGTGACTAGTATGTTTCTAGCATGATTAGCATGTTACTAGCATGCTGCTAGCATGATTAACAAGTGACTAGCATGTTATTAGCATGACTAGCAAAGTGACTAGCATGTTACTAGCATGGTTAGCATGTTACTAGCATGTTGTTAGCATTATTAACAAGTGACTAGCATGTTATTAGCATGTTACTAACGTGTTGTTATGTTTCTAGCATGATTAGCATGTTACTAGCATGATTAGCAAGTTACTAGCATGTTGCTAGCACGTTTCTAGCATGATTAGTATGTTACTAGCAAGTTATTAGCATGATTAGAAACTTACTAGCATGTTGCTAGCACGTTTCTAGCATTATTAGCATGTTGTTAACATGTTTAACTTGTTATTTGCATGTTGCTAGCACGTTTCTAACATGATTAGCATGTTGTTAGCATGTTTAACTAGTTACTAGCATAGATATATAATTTCCACTTCTGTTTCAGGTTTTTATAAACTATTTCTTACTATGTGTCAGTAACTTGTTGTTATTTTAGCATGTGTGTTTGCCTCA